GCTTCTATTCACTATTTCCCTGTTTGCTGAAAGATGCTGGGGTCCTACTTATGGCTCAGGGAGCTGAGTGTGCTCAGTATTGCACAGGCTTCGGTATTTAATGCCCAGTTGCTCTATGGTTTAGGTTTCCTTTCCCCACCTTCCTTTCCAGTTGAGTTTTAGGCAAGCCACAACTAGGATATTTTCTGTATCAGTGCCCACTAGAAAAAGAAACCTCCCTCGAGGGTGATTTATTTCAACTATGAAAAGGGCAGCGCTTTAACGGCTTCCACATGAGGAGAGCCACTGCCAAAAGAAATAATATTCTCTACTTGTTTCACTCACAAATATTAACATCTTTAATCTGTGATATTTTTCTGAGGGCCCATAAAAATACCTCAAAACTGATGCTTAAAGGAAAAAACTCCCACCATGGCATAGTTCTATTAATGGGCTTTGGCTGCCCCTTGGCTCAGAAATGTCCTCAAAAGCCCAGTCACTAAAGGCCAGCTCATCAGCTGGTGTAAATCGGAGCAGGTCCATTGAAGCCAGCAGATTATAGGTGATGAAACAAAAAACTCTCATATGAGATGGCTCCAGCCCCAGGTGTATTGCTTTATACCAGACGCTCTCAAACTGTGGTCCATAGACCACCAGTGGTCCACGAGCTCCATTCAGGTGGTCCATGGATAGTTCCCTCTAAGGTGCACACCTGGGCAGCTGCACGCAAGAGAATGAAGGGCGACCCACCTTATTAGTGGAGTCGTGCAGGCATGGCTCTACTAATTAGGTGCCTGGACCCTGGAGAAGATGCACACGTAAGATGAGGTGGTGGCCTTGGGGGGAATAGGGGCTAGCTGGGAGGGGGCAGTGGGGTGAGAAGAGGGGGTGGGGGGAATTTGGGATGTTCAGGGCTGTGGCGGCCAGAGCAAGAGGCAACTTTCCCCAATTCCAGGGCTGCCGCAGCAGGGGAAAGACCCCTCACCTTCCCAGTCCCAGCTTGGGGGGCTGCGGCGGCGGCGGGCGGGGGGGGGGGGGGAGGGAGAGGGCACATCCATCGCATTAGAAAGGTAAGACTACTGATATTAAAATATGAGTTGTGTGCTTTTATTTGTAGAACAAAAAACATTAATTATTATTAAGGGTTTTTTTTATAGAGCGCTTTTATCCAAAGCGTTTTACAATAGTTAGGTAACGGTACAAACAACATTTGGAAAGTGGTCCGCCGAGACCCTCAGCAATTTTCAAGTGGGCTTCGAAAAAAAAAGGCTTGAGAACCACTGCTCTACACAGAATAGCTGATAATGCTAATAAACCCTAGCTCTTCTACAGGGCCGGCTCCAGCATTTCTGCCGCCCCAAGCAAAAAAAAAAAAAAAAGACCGCGATCGGCGGCGGCAGTTCAGCGGCAGGTCCTTCGCTCCTAGAGGGAGTGAGGGACCTGCCGCCCCTGAATTGCCGCAGGTGCCGCCCCTCTCCCTTGGCCGCCCCAAGCACCTGCTTGTTAAGCTGGTGCCTGGAGCCGGCCCTGCTCTTCTATAGCACCTTTCTTCCATAGAGCTCAAAGTGCTTTACAAAAGGTCAGTATCATTCTCACAGATGGGGAAACTGAGGCACAGAGAAGTAAAGAGACTTACCCAAAGCCAGTGGCAGAGCTGGGAATAAAACGCTGGTATTCCGAGTCCCAATCCAGTGCTCTGGCCATTAGATCACACTGCCCTCCTGGAATTCCTCACACCAAGGCCTTGTCTGGACTAGAATAAATGGGATGGCATTAGGAAGTGTTAGCTCACATGTTGGAAGCATCTAACCTAGCTCCCAATTTTACCACCTAGGTCCCCTGGTGGGATATTGAAATCTGCCTATCTGCATATTTAGGCACCTAAATCTTTTTTTAAAATCTGATTCTTAGCCCTTCAGTCTGGACCAACAAAATCAGCATCAGTTAATCACCCTTGGACATAGTCCTGGAAGGCACCTGTGGGGTCACTGAGTCCAGTCCCAGCTACTGCAGGCAACACCATCATATAATCCCAGGCATAAATGTATCAAATTCCATGCTCAAACTAACTGGGTTGTTTGCCCCCACTGCTCCTATGGGGAGGCTGCTCCAGAAGTCCCTCCTCTAATGGGCAGAAACCATTATTTCCAGCTAAAATTTATTCCTGTCCAGTTTATCCCAATTGGTTCTTGTGCCAACATTGTCCTTTAGCTTCAATAGCTCTTCTCCCACCCTGGGATCCCCTCCCAAATGGATGTATTTCTAGAGAGCAACCAGATCCCCTCTCAGCCTTCATCTGGCCAGGTTAAACAAGCCTCTCATAAAATTGGCTCTCCATTCCCCTCATCAGCCTAGAAGCCCTTCTCTGCATGCAGCTACTTTGACCAAATGACACACTCTGCTCCACACCTGGATTTAACTTAACGGGAACCGGGACAAACGCTGCAGGAAGTGCGGGTACGTCAACGAAACCCTGCCCCACGTCCTATGCTGCTGCAAGCCCCATGCCAGAGTCTGGCAGCTACGCCACAACGCCGTCCAGGACCGTCTAGTGAAGGCCATCAACCCGCGTCTGGGAGAGATCACTGTCAACCACGCTGTCCCCGGCACCGACAGCCCGCTGCGCCCGGACATCGTCGTCACGGACGAGGTGGGGAAAAAGATCATCCTGGTCGACGTAACGATTCCGTTCGAGAACAGGACCCCGGCCTTCCGCGAAGCCCGAGCCCGCAAGCTCGAAAAATACGCCCCCCTGGCTGACACCCTGCGGACTAAGGGTTACGAGGTGCACGTCGACGCTCTGCTCGTTGGGGCCCTGGGTGCCTGGGACCCGTGTAACGAACGCGTGCTGAGGACCTGTGGGGTGGGCCGTCATTACGCACGGCTCATGAGACGCCTAATGGTCTCGGACACTATCCGTTGGTCCCGGGACATTTACATCGAGCACATCACCGGCCACCGCCAATACCGAGAGTGAGCCGGGGAGACCTCGTGCACCCACACACACACCCTGCTGGACCCTATCCCCTGAGCCCTAAACCCACCAAACCTAGCTGAATCCCGCCACGTGAGGGTCACCCCATCCCCATTACCCAGCCCACTTACTTATACCCATGACTGTCTCTACCTCCCGTATGGGTGATAGACCCTCACCGTTTATCGACTGTCTCCTGATCCCGCCCACCGGTTACCCACCCCTCATTGGGGACATTGCAGTGTGTATATACTATGTGTGCTGCCCAGCCCCAAAACACCAACATACCCCCATACTCTGTATGTTACCCCCAATGACCAATAACTAACGCTTCAAATTTTCTGTATCGTTTATTTTTTTAAATATTCCCTGAGTTTAAGGCCCAAATTCAGTGTGTTATTTAATTTTTTTTTTAAGTTTTACAAAACACAGTAAGAAATGTCTTTGTGACATTAAAAAAAAAACCACAACACAATCAAATAGAAATAGATTATTTGGGTAAATATCCACACACACACACGATCAGCCTCCCACCCATATGAACAAAGAATGCTGTTCACGTGGCTTTGATCCTGATTCAGGTCACAATACAAATAATTTATAAGAGGGAAAACTGTTAAAGGAAAGATTTCAATCATTTAAACATTGGATGGTCTTGTGGTTAAATAATAATCCCTAGCTCTTATCTAGCACTTTTCAACAGTAGATCTCAAAGCACTTTACAAAGAAGGCCAGCATCATTATCCCCTTTTTACAAATGGGGAAACTGAGGCATAGAGTGGAAGTGACTTGTCCAACGTCACCCAAGATTGAAGCACTGAACTGGGACCCAGGAGATCTGGGCTCAATTCCTGGCTCTGCCATTGAACTCCCTGTGTGGGCAAGTAATTCAGTCTCTCTGGGCCTTAGTTTCCCTGTCTATAAAAGAGGGGATGATCTTTCTTATCTGTTTAGATTGTAAGCACTTTGGGTGCAGGGACTGTATTTCCCTGTGTGTCTGTGTAACACTTAGCACAAGGGGGGGGGCCTTGCTCTTGGTCAGGGTCTGTGCAGCACCACAATGGGGGCCCTAGTCTCAGTCAGGTCTCTGCAGTGCCTGATACAACAGGGGGCCCGATCTCTGTCCAGCACAGCCGTCCAGCACCCAGCACAATGTGTTGGGGCCTCTAGGCACTATTGTAATACACATATTAATAAATAGTCAGAACGGAATTAAAGATCAAATCTCAAAGGTGGCTGGAGATTTTTGGTGCCTGACTAGAGATGCCCAGAGGTGCTGAGCATCCACCGCTCCCCTGGACTTCTGGGTGCTGATTAGGGCCCAACCTCAGCCCCACAGGTGTGTCTAGCTGGGCCCCCCAAAGTTGAAAGGGCTTTTTCCATTAAATCACTTTAGGTTTCACCAGCCAGTTGGGAACAGGGGTAAATCACAGCGAGTGAGCCAACAGCTCTGCCCACCCCGGAAGGGTCATGCCCTGCCAGAGAAAGGGCTCTGGGGGTGGGGGGACACTCAGAAGTGGGGGGACATAATGCAGTAGGGGGAGGGGGAATGGGTGACAGTGGGGGGGCGGGTACAGGGGGCAAGAGGTGGGGGGTGCAGTTGCCACAGGGGGAGGGGGCAGATACTGCAGGGGGGCAGTTATGGGGGGAGTTACTACAGGGGGCGGGGGCTAGGGTGACCAGACAGCAAATGTGAAAAATCGGAACAGGGAGTGGGGGGGTAATAGGAGCCTATACAAGAAAAAGACCCAAAAATCAGGACGGTCTCTATAAAACCGTGACATCTGGTCACCCTAGTGGGGGCATTAGTGTGGGGGTCACATGCTGCGGGTGGGCAACAGTGGAGGCTGCAAAGGATAAAAAGGGGGC